TTTTTTTTTTTTTCCTGGTACCAGGGATTGAACCCTAGAGCACTTAACCACTGAGCCACATCCCAGCCTTTTTATTTTTTATTTTGAAACAGAGTCTCACTAGTTTGCTTACAACCTCACTAAGTTGCTGAGGCTGGCTTTGAACCTGTGATCCTCTTGTCTCAGCCTCCCAGGCCACAAAGATTACAGGTTTGTGTCACCATGCCTGGCAGGAACACAAGTTTAAACCTAGACAAGGAGGTCACAGAAGACCTCCCCAAGGAGGTGGTATTTTAAATAAGTCACAAAAATGCTAGCAGGGACTAGCCAAAGGAAAGAAAAGGGAATCCTAGGTAGAGGAAATAAGTGGGAAGCTTCAGATGAAGAAAAAGAAAAGTATCTGACAAACTGGAAAAATTTGATCTTAGGAGCCTACTCTGAGAACTATGAGAAATGTTAGCAAGGTGGGCAGAGGACAAATTTAGAGAATTTTGTAAGCCAAATTAAGGTGTTGTGCTTTATTCTAACAGCAACAGGAATACACTGAAGGATTTTTAAGTGGGAAAGTGGCCTCTGGCCTTTAGTAGGATTACTTTGACTGCTATGTGGAGAATGAATTAGAGGAGACCAAGATAGAAATTAGGATAGAGAGAAGAAGCAGCTGGAAAAACCCAGGTAACAAGAGTGTGGTGCCCCAGATATGGTAGTGGCAGCACAGATGGAGAATGGGAGGATGATTAAAAGAGGGAGGTAGAATGGATAGGATTTGGTGGTTGATTGGATTTAGAGAGAAAGAGAGGAGTCAAAAATAACTTCTTGTTTTCTGGCTTGTGAAAAGGGGTGAAGGGAAGCACCACATACCGAAGCAGAAAATACAAAAGCAGGTTTGAGAAAGAGTATCAGTTCAGTTTAATGTGCCTATAAAATATTGTAGAGGCTGTTGAATATAGGAATAATAGAATTCATGAAAAAAATATGAGGAATTTTAACTAGGTCATATACAAGTGAAGTTGATTGACCCATCATATATCATTGCCTAAGATGAGCAGGGCAATTTAGCAAGACTCTCAAAATTAAGAAGAAAGGGCTGGGCACATACTTCAGTGGTAAAACATTTGCCTAGCTAGCATGCATGAGCTCCGGGGTTCAATCCCCAGTACTGCAAAACAAACAAACAAACAAATAAATAAATAAAGGTGGGGGTGATAAAACAGTGAGTGGTACAGTGTGTACAAACCAGATGGTAGGGGAATACAGAAAAGAAAAATGGTTTGACAATTAACTTCATGGAGGATAGGCTTTGATTTGGGCCTTGAATAGAAAAGGAAATGAGGGACAAATGGCTTAACGCATAACAAGGGCACAGAAATGTGAAAATGCATTAATATGTTCAGAGTATTGAAAGTGGTTGGTATGTGTGAAGCTGAAGTTCTAGGGGTGTGATAGACACAAATAAAACTGGAGAAGTATTTTGAGATCAATGAAGTAAACTCTTTTTGGTGGGGGATGAGGTACTAGGCACTCGATCACTGAGCCACATCACTTGCCCTATTTTGTATTTTATTAGAGACAGGTCTCACTGAGTTGCTTAGCGCCTTGCTAAACTGCTGAGGCTAGGTTTGAACTTGCAGACCTCCTACCTCAGCCTCCTGAGCCCCTGTGCCTGGCTGTCCTGGTCATTTTCACATAGCCATATGTTTAAGTAAATACACAGCTCTTACCTGTGTTCTTGTAAGTGAATCTCTCTTTTCAACTGTGAAGACTAACAACTGCAGAATGTCCAGGTGTCTGTCTTTTTGTTAAGAATGGAACAGTACTTTGAGTTATTTTAAAATTAAAGAGCACATGATGCTGCATGTTGGGTTTCTTCAGTAGCTCTGAAGGGTGATATCAGCTGAGATCAGCTCCATT